TCAGAAAATTACACATCAGGACAGACACGATCTCTGTGAACAGTCCAGTTGTAGAGATTTCTCAGATCCCACTTTCTAAACGGAGCAACATCTGAAGGATGACTTGAACATCTGATAACTAGGCGAACTCCTGCACATGCTTCAGAAYCCTGCTGACATGTCATCTATCCAGTAGAGCTGCTTTCCTGGTCCAAATCAGCTGAGCAGCCCACCTTCTCATTGCTCCTGTGTCTCTTAGATTTGCAGCCTGTATTTTCCCACTTCCTGGTTCTTCTTCTCTACTAGATTATGGCTCCCAATCAGCTTTCCTCTTCATTCGCTGGTCCCAGTGCCAGGAACACTGAAGGAACAGGTATCAGATATCGTGAAGATAATGAGTTTCCCGCTTGAAATGCAGAGCAAGATGTCTCTCTGCAAATTGTAGGGGAACTTGGGAAGCCCTGTCTGATGGGATTTCTTTGGAGGGCTCTGCCTGTATGCTGGGACAGTTGCAAGCTGGTCTGGAGGACCAGTMTCTGCGTTGGCTTCCACAAGATAAGGGGCTGTCAACACAAGTGGAATAATCAGGAGGAACTGGTGGGAAAGTAGCATTGGCCTCAGAGATTTCCAGCGTGATTAGATAAGGGAGTATGTAATTGGAAATGTGCTGGCAGGGAGACCTGCTTTGAAGTTCCAGGCTGATTATGTTAGCGAATAGGTCCAATATCTGGGTTGCAAGAGCCTCCCTGATCAGCAAAGAGCACCTGCTCTGTGGGAGAGCAGAGAGCCTGTGTCTTTGTCTAGAGGTATCAATGAGAAACCCCTTGCCCAAGCTCCCAGGGGGCAACATTTGCATCAAGAGATGCACAGATGTGAGCCAGGACCGACCTCTGACTTGCAGAGCCTGAGCTCAGAGAGTGAAGGTGGCATTTGGTGTCTTCTCTCTAGCACGCATGCTCAAGAGGGCCATGGGTACTTCGGCTCAGTTACAGAAAGCATGCTCTATAGCTTGGAGGAAGCCAAGTGCCCCTGTCCCCCAGGAGGGCAATGCAGTTACTTTGGAAATTACTGAATTTAAGCGCTTCTGACAGAGAGCAGGCACCCTGCTTTGCTGGGAGAACTTGCACCTTCTGAGGGCTCCCTGTCAGCCTCCCACTGTTCCAACCTCAGCTCCRTGAATAGATGGGAAGTTATCTGTCTCTATTTGATGGCACATAGCTCTTACTTTATTTGTTGAAGAAGGAGTCTTGTCTTGAAAAATCAGGTTGGTTCMAGTCCAAAGCTCCCCCAAAGACCTGGCTTCAGCCCTCTTTCCTCCTACAAAGGGGTCATGGTCTACACAGAGGAGGGCTAGCAGGGCTCCTCAGAAGATCCAGGGCAGTCCCTGTGTGTTTTGCCACYACTCATGGCCACCTCCAAGACATCCATTTTTGGACACAGGGACAGACCCCCAAGGGAGCAAGCTGAGCCTGGAGTGTGCGATCTGGGTGGAAGCAGCCAGGGATGGCCACTTGTCACCAGCAGGCCCGACAGCTCGCCTGTTCCTCTGATATCACTGACTGCAGAGGGCTTAGCTGAACTGCCCTGCTCGGAAGCCATCAGGCCTTGGCAAAACACAAAACACGTTTTCCAGGCACTTCTTGTTTTCCCAGTACTGACTGTATTCGGAGTGAAATGGAATCCATCTGTTTGAAGTGCTTTTGCTGAATTCTATGCAGCATGATTTTCTGTAAGAGTGTCTGAAGGCTGAAGGTTTTAATCTTTTGTCTTGGAAGGAGGGCACCCCATTTGGCTACAAGACAGTGTAAATTGAAACCTAAAGCACGCGTGTCTGGTGAGGTTCTCTGTGAGGCAGGGATGGCCTTCCTGACCCTTTGCTAAAAGTTCACTGGGAGTGAGGAAGTGGACTGTCCCCTGGGCTATGCAAGGTGAGACCAGGGCAGTCTTTTYCCCCTCATAAAGAGGTTCTGAGCAATTGGAGCCAGAGAGTAGGTAACAGAGCCTGAGCCACTGAAGCAAAYGAAGTTCAGGTCCGTAAGAACTGGAGCTGCCCGTCCATCAGAGACTCTCGAGGGTCTTTTTGCTGTCACTGCGAGTGCTGTCYTTCAAAGGCCCCATCTCACCAGTTAAGATAAAAAAAAAAGATAATTAGTCTTTTTTTTTTTTAACATTAGAAACTATGGGATAATGTTGGTGCTGGGGATGTCGCTCAGTGGTAAAGCACCTGCTAGCTTGCACAAGGCCCCGGGGTTCCTTCCCCAGCTCCAAAAATAAAAGAGAAAGAAAAATCACTCATCGTCCTACTGATCAGCATTCACCACTCCAAGCACTGAGGTATTCCTTTACGTGGTTTCTCCTTCTGTCTCTTTAAAGCAAATTGAGATMGTAGTAGTTTATGAATAGAGCCTTTTCCAGGACCGTGACATCACAGTCATCTTGCTGGCCCCTGGACAGTCTTCCTAGGCATCAGATTCTGTGACTGCACGRTATTCTATTATATGGCTGGTCTCCAGTTTTCCTACCCATTCTTGGGCAGTTGCAGTGTTCCTAGATTGTCACTTAAGTAACACAGTGAACAGCATCTTTGGGCACAAAGCTGAGATGGATTCCTAGATATTACTTCCAATTGTTGAGACTTCTGTATGTGAAGGTGTTACCAAGACCCATCTATAAAGCATGGTTGTCATAAAAGATGGCGGGCAGAGAGGTGGGGTCAGGTGACAACATTTGCTGTGTCTCTGCCCCATTCARGACATGCTGTTAGGATTGTGAGCATAGGAAAGACTTCATGAATGACAGACCTGGTCTTTATCCTTGAGGACCCTACTGGATAGTTTGAAACCACAATATAACAATAGTCCAAGGAGAGGGGGTTCCTGTATTCACGGGAATCCAGGCACAAATTTCAGGATGAAGCAGAATTTCTGTGATCCTTTTGCATTTTCTGGAACTTTCAGCAGAATCATTTCATCTATAGAGTGGCCAATAATTACCCATTCAATGATTGTTAGAGGTGAGTRTTTAGAGGAAGGTGAATGTTTTCTTCTACTTATCCTTTTCTCCTTTTGTTATTTTATAGTTTTTTTGTAATAGAAAAAGTAAACTTCTTTGAGTGTCATTCATATGACCAATAAACTAAGGAGATGGCAGTCAGGCACTGGTCAGGGTGTAGCAGAGGCCGGAGTCTACACCCAACAGGTGTGAAGCAGGGATCGGCAGAATTTTTACCTGCCCCTTCAGTGACCTACCAACCTGTTTACATATAACTCTGACCTGGCAACATGAGCTTAATGCCTACAAGATCATATTTGCTGGAACATTCTGTCGTGCAGGTACATGGCACTTCCAGTGGTTCAGTCACTGCCAGTGCTTCAGTGTGCACCTGGCTGCTAGGAGTTAAAAGGGTATTTGATCACTCTGCAGGCTCCAGACTTCCACTTGGGGCCAGAACTGGGTGTGCATGTGGAAGTTGGTGACTATCGTTTGTACGTCTTTTCTCCCCTTTGCCCCATCACTTCTGCTGTTCAGCTGATTCTTCCTTGGAGAAAATGAGAGTGCCAAGTGCCAGTCTGCGGCCTTGTCGTGGCGCCCCCTACTGGTCAGACATCTGTAATTGCAGGACTTGGGCAAAACCCCATCTCAGCTCAACTTGTTCCAAGAGCTTATCAATTTTTGTCAATCAAATGTTCAGTTAGGACAGGTAGGACTGGGGGATGTGTCTCATTACCCCAATTTCTTTGGGGCCCTTCCCTCATCTGTGGCTGGAGTGCCTGGGTCTCCATCTGAAGGTCTAATGACAGCACCACAAAGAACTGCTCCAGGCAGGCAACACACCTTGACCGTCCAGCCCCCACGTCCTCTCAYCTGGCATCCGTCTTATCTGGCTTGCTAGCACCTGTACAGCTTTCTGTTGTGTTCCAGTTGGCTGTTTCCCCAGGCTAGCAGGGTTGTTTTTCTTCTTCCCTGACTCTGCTTCTGCAGAATAAATCCCTTTCTCATTCCCTGTGACTCTACTTTCCTTTGATCCTTTGTTTTCTCCAGAACCAGAACCACTTAGTCTCCTAAAGGGCTCAGAGAGGCATCTTGCAGCTCCCTGTAATTTATAAACCCATGATAGACATCACACAAGACTAATTCTTATTTGGCCAGCACTCTGCTGGCCAAAAGCAACAAACTCCACCCTGAGGCAGATGGGGGTGGGGGAGGAACCAGGCACTGCCCACCCCAGATGTAATGAATATGTGTTCTTTATGGGACTAGAGAAACACCAAACAAACATCTGTGACCAGGGCCAGTCTTAATCCAGAATGCAAAATAAACAAGATAGCATTCCAGATACCATCCTGGGGGACTTGGGGGGGGGGGGGGAGACAGTATCCAAAGCTTACACCTTCACAGGGTGTCAATCACATTCCCTGGGCTAGGATTTGCTTATATCCTGTTTCTATCCAGATTATATTCTATGTAGGATTTTTAAATTAATACATTTTTAGTAAAAATTATTGTAAAGCATTTCATAGTTTAGCAAAATATTTTGTATATGTATTAATACAACCATAATTTATATGTAAATATTAAAATATAAATTAATATATTTTATACATGTAAAAGGCATATATATTTATAKAAATATTAGAGCATTTTATGCCAGACATTTAAAATATTTCTAAAAATACAGGCTAAATAAATACATTAAAGTAAAACTTACTATTTAAGTCAATACCATGGCTTTATATTAAAATTAAATACTTTAATATTGAAACCCTGTCAATATTAAAGAGCTGGGGATGTGGCTCAGTGGTAAAGTGTCCCAGGGTTCAATCCCTAATACTCCCCAAATTAATATTGAAATATGTAGGATGTATTTTTTATATAAATGAAAGGCGTTAGAAAATAGTTTTTAAAAATAACCTGGCAGGGGGCGCTCTGCTCAGGTGTGGTTCCCGCCCCGGCGGCCACAGCGCCCCCTACCGCTTACTCCACCGTGAACACTGACCGGCTGTTCTTRCTCCCGCCCGCAGGCATCGGCAAGAACGTCATCTGCGACCGCACAGCCACGCCGCTGGATGCCTTCCGCATGATGTCAGCCGCACATTACTACCCCAAGCTCATGAGCATCATGGGCAACGTGCTGCGCTTCCTGCCGGCCTTCGTGCGCATGAAGCAGCTGATCGAGGAGGGCTACGTGGGCGAGCTGCTGGTGTGCGAGGTGCAGGTGCACAGCGGCAGCCTGCTGGGCAAGAAGTACAACTGGAGCTGCGACGACCTGATGGGCGGCGGCGGCCTGCACTCGGTGGGCACCTACATCATTGACCTGCTCACCTTCCTCACTGGCCAGAAGGCCGTCAAGGTCCACGGGCTGCTCAAGACCTTTGTCAAGCAGACAGACCACATCAAGGGCATCCGCCAGATCACCAGTGACGACTTCTGCACCTTCCAGATGGTGCTGGAGGGCGGGGTGTGCTGCACCGTCACCCTCAACTTTAACGTGCCTGGCGAGTTCAAGCAGGATGTGACTGTGGTGGGCTCGGCCGGGCGCCTGCTGGCGGTGGGCACCGACCTGTACGGGCAGCGCAACARTGCCCCCGARCAGGAGCTGCTGCTGCAGGATGCCACGCCYGTGAGCAACTCCCTGCTGCCCGAGAAGGCCTTCAGCGACATCCCCTCGCCCTACCTTCGTGGCACCATGAAGATGATGCAGGCGGTGCGCCAGGCCTTCCAGGACCAGGACGACCGGCGCACGTGGGACGGGCGGCCTCTCACCATGGCCGCCACCTTCGACGACTGCCTGTACGCGCTGTGTGTGGTGGACACCATCAAGAGGTCCAGCCAGACSGGCGAGTGGCAGAACATTGCCATCATGACCGAGGAGCCGGAGCTGAGTCCCGCCTACCTGATCAGCGAGGCCATGCGCCGCAGCCGGATGTCCCTTTACTGTTAGCACAGACTGAGGACCTGCGGGACTTAGACCTTCTGTGCGGGGCCCAGAGAAGGGGAAACACGTAGGGRTGAGAGGGTGGTGGTCTTGGGGATCGTGGGAGTTGGGGACAGAACACGGGTAGATGGTATCTGAGAAGGTGAACCCCAGCCCAGGTAAGGGCCCCCAATAAAGAGTGTCGGTGGGCTGAGCTCAGGGCCAGGGCGTAGGCAGAAGGGCCTGCCATCCTCCACACGTCCTTTGCCAGGTTTTGCATGAGAGGGAGGAGGCTCGCTGCCTCTGCTGCCCTTTACTGAGAAGCTAGGAGGGGTTGCTGCCCTCCCTACCTCATCCACCCCCACACCTTGGCCTCCTTTGCAAGCCAAATGGCCCTGCATCAGGGGGCAAGGCCATGGGAGCCAGGCTCCCCCGACACCTGCCACTGGCAGGAGATGGCACATCATCTCATGTCCTCAGAAGCCTAACAGTCTAGGGAGAGATGGAAGTGGGTTGGGTTAGTGAGGCACTTTTTAGTCTACTTGAAGTGTCTGAAGGGAAACTCCTTAGAAGCAAAGGGTTTAGCTTCTTTGATTTTCCTCATGGGGAGTCCTAGGGCATGACTGGTTCCTTATCCTTCTCCCTGTGGGGTAAGGAAGCATTGTCCCTTGGCTGACGTTGGAAAGATCAGGAATGGCAGCAGAGAGCAGGGTTCCCTTAAGCTGAAAGGGGTGAGCAAGAACACACACTGCATGGGAACAGGTGAGGCAGAGAGTGAACCCTCCCTCYGAGCTTGTCAACAATGCAAAACCTGCTTTATAACCTTTCCAGGAAGGGCGGATTGAGGAGAGCCATTCAGACAGCGCRCACCAAGTGGGCGTCTGACTGCAGGTTCCCACGCTGCCCTCTGGAGCTGGGTCAGCCACTGTGCCCCAGTGTTGCAATGTGAGTCCCCAAAAAGGGAAAATGAGCATAGCCCTGGAGTTGCTTTGAATTCCAACACCAAGCTGGGCTTCCCAGCTTGGTAGATTGAAAAGGGAAGCCTTCAGTTCCACTCAGAATTCTCTTAAGATGAGAAGCCAAGGCTCTTTCCCTTAGCTTTGGCTTCTAGAATTCTGACACCTGAAAACTACTGAATAGTTATCAAAAAAGATAGCAAGGAACATGATTTTCAGTGTTTCTAAAATGGGGGTTTGGAGGCCTCAGAGGGCTGTATGTCAGGGCGGATCAGGCTGAAGGTGGAAAATCTTCTACTTGCCCCCTGGCTCTCTTGTATTTTCACCCACTTTTCCAGCTTCCATTAGTGACARCCAACTGTAAGCTCAAGAGTGGGCAGTGCCAAAAGGGAACGGCTCGTCACATGGGCCCATACACTCATTTGTAAATACTTACCATCATCAAATGTCCCCCAAATCAGTTTTTTAAAATTCAGGTCTGATCTTGAAAGAAAGACCAAGTCAATTACATTTTGAAATGTGGAATTATTGTTGTCTTTGCTAACTTTTCACACACACCCCCATCCCATAATACATTTGTGAGGCTGKGTGTGGGGACTAGTCCTCGTAAGTCTACGTAGCTTTTGTTCACAGGTTTCTGAAGTCAAACAGGTGTCTTTGGCATACAGCCAGGGTGAAGACTTCCTTTCAGATTACCAGCAATAGAACTAGAAGGGAATTAAAGGCCCTGGAGGCCACTCCCAGCCTCTAAATGGGCAACATTTGAAAAGGAACAGTCCCAACAGAGGGTCCTCCATCCTCCTCCCTGGAGTCGATACACTGCAAAGCCCCCAGGCTGCTCCTACTCACAGGAATAGTCCTGGATGTAYCTAAGCACCAGGGAAATGTTCATCTTCTAGGACAAAAGAGTAAATCTTGCTTTTCTTGGAAGAATCACCCTGTTCCCTGGGCCCCTATACAACATGGTGGGGTTAGTTAGCAGAAATTCCATGACATGGTTATGTTCCCTGATAGGTTGACTCACTTCAAAATTGGGAGATGTGGTGGATGGAAAGTGTCCCAGTGCTAGTTGGAGCAAAGGGCCCCATTTCTGGACTATTTGGGTTTCTGTTCTAAATTGCCCTCTGGAGAAGTAGTTTTTGTGAAAACTGTAGAAAGAAGTTTTTTTTTTTTTCCTAGCTTGCCTGAAAGGCTGTGATTAAGGATGAAGGGAAATAAAACTAGGTGACTCTACAGGTTTCATTTTTCTACATCATTTGTAGTCTAGGTAGATATTCTTGGAGTTTCCATTTTGTCTTTCTGTACTTAACCATAACACTGTAGAGATTCCCCCTACCCCCACACAAAGGCCTCTGAGCTCTGTGATAAACAAAAATTCTTGTTTGAGGCCAGGGRATATAAAAGGCATATACTTTAAAAGAAGCATGAAAAATATTTTTAGTAAGTGTACTCAAATTTTATCTACTGAAATGCATGTAGTAGGTTGAAACAGAAACAAGAGGAAGAAAAGACCTAGGTAGCTCATATTTTAGTATAAAAATGACAGCAAATGAGTTTAAGATACTTTAGTGTTCCTTCTGCACTTGTCCTACCACATGCAAAGACTGGTGGGAAGCAGCAAGGTGAGACTGAAATTCCTGAGGACTTTGTTTCAGCTTGGCACCCTCAGGGGTCTGGGTACCATCTGCTGACTTTGATCTAGGACTAATTCCCAGTAATAACCCAGCGCATTTCTTTAATGTGCTTCAAGGGCCTGCTGTAACGGAGGCAGCCCTGTAAGGTCTACACGTTCAGTTTCCCCTTGACTGTCTGGTACCCTTCGTTGTGTAGATGCCTCTACAAAAGTCCTAAATTCCAAATTCTCAGAGAAGATGCAGGTCAGGGTTCTTTTCAGGCAGGCACAGTGTTAAGGGAATGCCCTGGGCTTATTTGGAAACCTTGGAGGCTGTGATCACTGTTTCTCCAAGACTTCTCTCCTTGCTGGGAAGATTGCATCGCRGGGCACCTCAGATCTAGTGTGGCCTACCTGGCAGCAGATACAGTGTGCAGAGCATCTCATTCAGTCCATAAGAACAGCTCTACTGGGTGTTTTCATCCCTTTTGCACACTAGAAAGCAACTGTCCAAAAATCAGCAAGAAAGCAGAAGTGAACTCACCGGAATTTACCACCTTTTTCTCCAAGCCCAGTTCTGTTTCTGCCCTTCAAACCCTGGAGAGGGGCTGCCCTCCCCCTGTGCTGAGTGGACTCCAGTGAGACCTGGAGTCCACTTCTCTGCTGAGGCTCCCTCTTGTCGAGCAGGATTCAACATTTGGTGTTTTGCCAGAAAGTTCGTTATTAGAGCTGCAAATAGAAATGATCAATTTTTCTTTTCCTCCCCAAATGGAAATAGCACTCAACTTCTTTTAAAACGAACTTCCTAATTTTATCTTTGGTTGTAGTACAAAAAATGTACAAAAAACTTAGACAAACCAGAGTTGGAGATTTTCAAAACATTGTTGGCTGACTATCAGAGATGGCCTTGGATTTTGCTTTGGGGGGCCTGAGTATAATATAGGAAAATATCTTTTCTCAGGGAGTGGGGCTTTCAGGGTTGACTTCTTGTGACTGGGATTAGAGCCGTGCATTTGTACATTTGTATTCTTTTACTCTCTACATCTTGTCTTATAGTTGCTGCTCTTGGATTTGACCTGTGATTATAGATGGGGCTTCTGATCTGATCTCTTTTCTTTTGATGGGCATAGGAGGAAATCAGCTTTGCTGATGATATCTTGGGGACAAAGTAAAGCCAGTTCATGGGAAGGGACTTCAACATCTAATACATTTAGTCCCTCATCTTGTATCCCAGAGAGGGTAAATGGTGGTTAACGTCACCCCAGCCCAGTTTTCTGACTGCCTCACACAGCACCCTCAGAGATTTGGACCGGGAATGGTGGCTAAGGGAGGGGTAGTGACTGGTCTGAGGTTCCCTATTTGGTAGAGAGGTTGGGACTGACTGCATTGCACTGCATTCCCTGAGCTCTTACAGGTAAATTCATTTTTCATGAACTCAGTTATATCTCAAATATACTCAGAAAATTAGCTTTTAAAAGTTTTCCATTGTAATTGCAATGTGAATAATCTCTAATTGGCGTTTTCTTTGGCAAGGATAGGGGACATTCACCTTTGGGGTTTCCTGAGGCTTGCTTGGACTAGCTCAGGATTCTTTCTCCACTCAGTGCCTGTAAAGCCCTGGAGTTGACAGGGCAGAAGTCATGACATTGAGTAGCTTGTGGAGTGAGGGGGGATCAACTTTCAGAACTCCACATTTCAATCCCTTTTTGGGGAGAGGAAGGAGAGTGATGAAAGATAAGTCATATGTATTTGCATTGTGAGCCCAGAGTCTCCACCAGTGGGGACAGTCCAGATGGACTGGGGTTTCTGGGACTTCTCTACAGAGGAATTGAGACCTCCCGTGCTTCTCCAGTAAATGATGGGTTTGCTGTTCCCATTGGAATCTGGCTGTGCCATAGCTGAGTGAGCACGATCACATCAGTTAGGAGTGGAAAGTAGTAGCCTGCTGACATCCCCCCCACCCGTGTCCCCAAGCTTATCTGCTAGAGCCCTTGAGGCAGGCCGAAGAAGCTGGCTCTCCTTCAGGCTCCTAAGGTGTTGCATTATTGAAAACTCTGGAATCTGCTACAGTCCTCTCTGTTTCCACCAGCAGTGAATAGAATAACAAAAAGAACCTGCTGAATGCAATGGCCTGATGCTTTGTGCAGCAATCCGAGCTCACCTGGGCAGGTGTTGGCAGGAAGTACACAGAGCCATGGAGTCTTGATGTCTCTGTCTCTCCCCTTCTCTGTCCAGTTCTTGCTGTCCTCTGCAGCCACCTCAAGGGCTAAATCATTGAATGAGCCCCTTGGTTCCTCCTTATAAATGCAGTAATTTATTTGTGATGCTGAGTCTAATCCCAGGTTAAGAAACAAAAGCTTGTGATCTGACCTGCTCCTTATTCTGCCCTGTGCCTTGTCCAGGGGTGGGAGAAGTTTCTAGCAATTTTGACTCTGTTTGCTGCCTGGTGCTTTTCATTTGTTTTGTGTGTATGTGTTTTTTTTTTTTTTTAACCAAAATTGCATTGGTTGGGTCGTCATTGTCAAGTATGTATTTATTGTGTTTTACAAACATGAGTATATATGTATGTATATGTATAAAAGCAAACTTATATATAAAAAGTCAAGGCATGTATACTAGATATTTTAAAGAGTTATTTATCAAGGGGAAAAGATGTGTGTTATAAACAGAGTCTATATTTTATATATAATGTAGATAGCAAAAATAGCTTATAAATTATAGAAGGTTTTGGTTTTTCTTTTTTATTATTAAAGCAAAAAAAGAAAAGGACAATGAATGCAACGGTTCCTAGTGTTTTAAAAGACAAACTACTGTGGGAGTTGGGAGGCAGTCTTCCCTTCTGGGCCTTCCAGCAGGTTCGGCGGCCATTACCCTGGCCCACCCAGCAGATYCCCGTTACTGCTTACAAGACGCTGGGGCCAGGGTGTCACATCCCTGTGCCTGCTCGCCTGTGTGGCTCCAAACAYGGCCCCTCGCTCTTCTCCACAATTTGCATTGGTGGGAAAAGAATACAAGTGGCAAATAAAGATTTAAAAGCAGMAGCAGTTCCAGTTCTTTCTCATTTTCTAAGCTCAGGTGCTCATAATTTAGGTACCTRCAGAATCTGTGGGATGTGAAGCATGAATGGGTGTGTCAGAGGGGTGTGTGTGCTGGAAGCGGCTCCCGTGTATCAGCACCCAGGAAGCTGAGCCAGGGGTCAACTCACCTTCCACTTCCTTCCAGGAATCATTGGATGTGAGAGTGGGAGGCACTTCACAGCCAGCTGCTTCAAACCCTCACTTTGGAAAAGTGGAAATGGAGAGGAGAGAAGCTCCCTAGAGCCTCTTGGTGTGTGTGTGTGTGTGTGTGTGTGTGTGTGTGTGTGTGTACATGCGTGTATGTGTTCATGCGTGGGTCAAAAGCTAGACCAGGGAGGAGGGTGGCGACACAGTTTTAGATTGGGAGAATAAATTTGAAATTTGCTTGTCATTTTAATATTACACCCTAAGTTCCCACAACCAAGCTCTGAAGACATGACAGGTTCACTCGATTATGTAAGAGAGTATCTTTGCTTACTTTTGAATCAGTGTTCAAGGACAGCCATTGTGGACCTAATTTGAAGCTTGCATATGTGGGTTTCCCACAGATGGGCGGCCCCTTCCTTTCCACACTCTGCTGAGTCTTACAGAATATGCACAGTGCTGCTTCTGGTCCATGTTTTCCTTTTATGTAAACAGTTAATTAACCACCACAAGGCCTGAAATCTCATTATTCTCTCCTTCATAAGCAGGCTGAACCTAACATTTAGAACTCAGTCTATATGTTAAGATAATAAGATTGCTGCAAACCCCTGCAACCACAGAGATCATAAAGTTTGAGAATGTTCCATGCTGTGTGCAATCAGCAGGGACTCTCATAATGGTTCTGCTTAGGGCAGTGAGGACAAACGCTGTGTCACAGCTGAAGGCACCATCTGCCCTGATGTGAAAAGCCTCTGAGACGGGGTCTAAGGTCCAGTCTCTCTGTATCTTCCATCAGAGTGAAGAACCAACCAACCTTCAATAGGCCTCATATCTTCTGAGCATTTATGTAAGTGTTCTCCATGATGTTGATTCCTCCCAGTCAAGGTCTATTTCCTTCTTTATAAACCAGAGAACATATAGTTGAYGCTCTAATGTGAATATCAGAAACCCCAAATACTCTGAAATCTGAAATTTTTTGAGAAGCAACATCATGCTCACAACACCTCAGATTTTGTATATTTTGGGATTTGCAGATGAGGGATGCTCAACCATTTGCAAATATTCCAAAATCTAAAAAAGTGTGAAATCTGAAAAACAGTGGGTCCCAGGCATCTTGTATAAGGACTACTCAACTGGCCTTGCCTCCTACTACATTGCAAAATATGATGAGCACAGCTTTCACTATCTCCAAACTGTTGCYTGAAATGAACAGTCAGATGCCCAGCAGATCATTCAGGGTGTTCTTTGCTGGTCAAAGGAGAACTCTGCGTGTCCTCTCCTGTCTGTCCACCCACCACCTAGAAACACAAYCATTCTCCTGTTTCGCTGCCTGCTGCTTTTATCTCATGTATTTTTTAGCACTGTTGTGATAAGGCTGGGTGATTCAGTTTGAAAAATAAACTAACTCCCATGCTTGCTATGAGAATGAATTACATATGTGCAAAGTCTGCAGAAATCTGTATAGAAATGAAAACACAAAGCTCACCTCACCTTAARGAGGGGGTCCCATTTTATGGGCCCACAGTCACCCTTTTCTTTGCTAGCAGAAAAGATCCCTCTGCCCGGATCTCCCCCTAGGCTTTGCCCCAACTCTTGCTGGAAGGTTGTCCAAGACTAGACAACAGAGATGAAAAACAGGCRTCACTGCAAACGATTGGTGCCAAGTTACAATCAGAAAGACAGTGTTGCAGCTTACTTGATCCCAAACTACAAAACAAAAATACTGCTGCAAGTTCAAACCTTTCAAAATACTTTGCCTCATTCATTCAGTCAGGCTTCCTTTTGAATCTTATCTCCGGGTCTCCATCTGCTGGGTAAAGACTCACTATGCCAGCTTCTGTAGCACTGCTGAGGTCTGACCAGAGCTCTGCCAGACAAACCCCACCATAGCTAACCTAGTTGTTGGGCTTCCTCTAAAATGTCATACTAAGCATAGAAATACCTTTCCTAATTTTATGCAAGTTTTGATCCYCTTGGGTCAAACCAAACTCTTTTCCTTCAGCCATGTGTGAAAATGAAAAATAACTTTTTTGGAGCCTTTCTTGGGCAGTTATATTGTCCCTTAATATCAGTGAGGGGACTGATTCCAGGTCTCCCCAGGGATACCAAAATCCATGGATTCTGAAGTCCCTTCTATAAGTGGCTTAGCATATATATGCATAGCTTGTATACTTTAAATAATCTCATAATTACGTATAATACCCCAAACAATGTAAATGCCATGTAAATAGTTGTTATTTTATATTGGTTAGGAAATAATGAAAGGAAACAAGTTTTGATGTTTAGTAGCTATGTGATTTGGAGGGTGGGTGTTTTCGATCCATGGTTGGTTGAATCTGCAGCCAACCAACGTACAGAGGTGGAGGGCCAACTGTATAGCTTAACTCATTCCTTGGTCATAGATGGGGTTCAGTCCTAGCATCACAATCTGAAATGCACTGTATGTGCACCCTGTGGTCTCCAACCCATTTGTCAAGTGCCCCTGGAGGGAGGAGCTGTGAGAAGGCC